AAATAAAACAGCTAAAAAGTGCTCAGCCTCCCAGAGTCGATTACTTCGTGAAGCCGCCGTGTACTTCAAAGATGCAAATCTTATATGTCTCTAGCACATTCGCATATATAGATTGATAAGTGTGGGAGTGGTGGCCTAGTGAACCAGAGCAGTGCGCTTGTGCTCTGAGAAGGTTGCAAGTACCTGGTTTGATCCCCACAGCCTCCACTCTGGCTCCCTGAGCAAGACCCTTAACCCCACTCTGCTCTCTGGGTGCTGCCCAATGGCAGTCCACTGCTGCCCAAGGGGATGGGTCAAATGCAGAGAGTGAAATCCACATTGTAGGACAATAAAGGGATTTACATTTTTCCTCTTTTTAAAGTTTTTTTTTTTACATTTTCTTTTTTTCCAATCTATTCTGTAAAATGAGCACCATCAATTAACTTTGCATCAATTCTGAACAACTGTTACAACTTAAGAAAAATTTAATTCAGTTTATTTTTATAGCCCCAATTTACAACACATGTCATCTCAAGGCACTTTACAGTTCACCAGATCATACAGTCAAATTGATTCAAAGTTTTCTATGTAAGGAAAACCAGCTGATTGCATCGACTCATTGACTTGGATGCAATCCCTCGCACTAAGCATCCTTGTAGAGACAGTGGAGAGGAAAAACTCCCTTTGAACAGGAAGAAACCTCCAGCAGCGCCAGGCTCAGTGTGACCGGCCATCTGCCAAGGCCGACTGGGGTTCAAAGAGACAGAAGCAGAGACATAAAAAGCAGCTGTAAAAGGCAGCCCTGTCCAGGAAACACACAGCCAGGCAACCGAGCTCCGAGCCAACTCCTATGTCAGAGGATGAAGAGACCACATCCAGCCAGTCACAGTCAGAGAAACAGGACTACACTGGAAAACAGGCCAATCTCCAACATCTACAAACAAGGGCATTTAACAGCATTCCCATATCATGATGCTGCTACCATTGTGATTCAGAGTTGGGGTGATGTCTTCCGAATAATGTGAAGAATTATTATTATTTGCAGTACACTGCCTGTGGCTTGTAGCCCAGAAAGAAAAGAAATTGGTCAACAACACTTTCTTCTATGTATGAACAACCTCCTGCATGGCTTTTATTCAAAAAAGGCTTTAATTTAGTGGTATGGTGCACACTACATTTTTCTTACTTTAATTGTAAAATACTTTCTTTTCTCTAAAAATATCTTTAACCCCCAAAGACTTTAATAGAACATTTGCATTTTCTACTCGTTAGTCAGTTACTGGAGCAACTGGTTGCATTAGAATTCATTATAGGTTGATAAGATTAAAATGGTCTGAATAAGAAGTCAAAATGTTGACCTTTTTAGTCATAAAAACATTTTAAAACCATATCCTTTTTATTTTACTACATAACAATATACCCCCTTGTGTAGGTCCCTAATATAATACACTGAAGTACACTTTATGCTTGTTACATGAGAACTGCAGAAAGGGTCAGAAGGAATAGATACTGTTGCACAGTCCTCCTCTATAATGACTCTTTAAACACAGATAGTAGTTGACCTGATATATTTAACATCCAGGCTGACTAAGCGCTCATGCTTTACCGAATGAAATCAGTGACCAATTTAGAACTTAAGCTTTTCTAATCCTTCATCTAAGCCATAATTTGAATTCTTTGAATCAGATTTCCTTATACCCTTGACAAGAATGAGAATAACCAAAAGCCTTGATAACAGGTTTTCAGACTTTCTTTCCCTTTCTTCTGTCTTAATAAACATTAGATTTACATTAAGCTCTAGTTTTGTTATTTTTCCTACAATTTTATATTTACATTTGAGTCCTTATTTAAACTGTGATGTACTTTAGTGTCAATATTAGTCTAATTAACACATGCAACAGCTAGTATAGCTTACTGAAAGGCTTTCAGATTTAGCATAATAAGAAATATCTTACAGAGACAAATGACCTTGTTGAACTGAGGCCATGTGTTTGTGCAGATATAAAGAATATCAACTAATGGGGTGTCTATTTAAGGATTTTATGGAGGAGTGAGATGCCATCAGTTTTTCTGGTCCCTCGAGGCGAGCAGAAACTCCTTTTGTTTGCTATAAATTGAACCAGTATAGAGTTGTGTGATCAAGTCTAAAACAGTGCAACCCCCAGAGAAACAATGGGGGGAATAATTTAGTGCTGCTTTGGCATGATGGTTTAAAACAGCACAGCAAGTTATCCTTATGTGTTCTATTCATGTAAATAATTCAGGTAGGAATCTATCATTCTAGCTCTTTGTTCTTAAAGTAACCCTCCATAAAAAAAAAAAATGAAGTTATGTGGTAAGTGTCAGAAGGTAATTTAAAGTTATTGATAGGATAATAAAGGGGGAAAAAAATAAGGATAGTACACTAGAAACAGGAAATATATAACAATTATAGTCAAATTAAACCATCAAATAAAAAGAAAGACATGATCAAATTTAAAATTGCAGCAGTAGCAATAGAGCAAAGAGTCATATTGATTCTTCAGTTCCCTGCCTCTAAATGGAGTGAAACAAGTAGGCAGCCATATTTCAGCTATTCATCAAGGTAAAACAACCACACTGACATAATAGGCTGTGTAATTATTGTCACACAATAGGCTGTATGTGTGAAGCTCTTTTCTCTGTAATTAAATGCTGCTTTTGTTGCGATAACACTCTGCTGGTTAACATATTAACCTAATCCGTATGCATAAATCCAGAATATATAAATCACTGTGCAAAAAGTTTCAGCTATATCATAACAGCGGTTAGAATGTGTGGATTTTTTATTTCAAATAATGGATGGATTGAATCCTAATGTAGGCTGGTGTTTTATAAATATATTTGTCAAGTTATATTTCACGCTAACGGCATCGTTAGCGCCTTCGCTGCCAAGATTTGATCACTCTCAGCGTTCCTTTGGTACGCTCTAAAAAAGCATTGTCCTGCTCTGCTCCTTCCATCTGGAACAGTAGGACCTGAAATTATCCAATCTGGGTCACACTCTGGCAACTCAAAGCTTTTTTTAAAGGTTTGGCTACCTGCACTTATTTTTAATATAATGAATAATGCACTGTGTATTTACAGATGGATGGATGGATGGATGGATGGATGGATGGATGGATGGATGGATGGATGGATGGATGGATGGATGGATGGATGATGGATGGATCGATGGGTAGATGGATGGATCGATGGGTAGATGGATGGATAGATGGATGGATGGATCGATGGGTAGATGGATGGATCGATGGGTAGATGGATGGATAGATGGATGAATGGATCGATGGGTAGATGGATGGATAGTTGGATGATGGATGGATGGATGGTTAGATGATGGATGGATAGATAGATGATGGATGAATGAATGGATGGATGGATGGATGGATGGATGGATGGATGGATGGATGGGTAGATGGATGGATCGATGGGTAGATGGATGGATAGATGGATGATGGATGGATGGATGGATGGATGGATGGATGGATGGATGGATGGATGGATGGATGGATGGATAGATGGATGATGGATGGATGGATGGATGGATGGATGGATGATGGATGGATGGATGGATGATGGATGGATAGATAGATGATGGAGGAATGAATGGATGGATGGATGGATGGATAGATAGATGGATGATGGATGGATAGTTAGATGATGAATGGATAGATAGATGGATGGATAGTTAGATGATAGATGGATGGATAGTTAGATGATGGATGGATGGATGGATGGTTAGATGATGGATGGATAGATAGATGATGGATGAATGAATGGATGGATGGATGGATAGATAGATGATGGATGAATGAATGAATGAATGAATGGATGGATGGATGGATGGATGGATGGATGGATGGATGGATGGATGGATAGATAGATAGATAGATGGATGATGGATGGATAGTTAGATGATGAATGGATAGATAGATGGATGGATAGTTAGATGATAGATGGATGGATAGTTAGATGATGGATGGATGGATGGATGGATGGATGGTTAGATGATGGATGGATAGATAGATGATGGATGAATGAATGGATGGATGGATGGATGGATGATGGATGGATGGATGGATGGATAGATAGATGATGGATGAATGAATGAATGAATGAATGGATGGATGGATGGATGGATGGATGGATGGATAGATAGATGGATGATGGATGGATAGTTAGATGATGAATGGATAGATAGATGATGGATGAATGAATGGATGGATGGATGGATGGATGGATGGATGGATAGATGGATGGATGGATGGATGGATGGATGGATGGATAGATAGATGGATGATGGATGGATAGTTAGATGATGAATGGATGGATAGATGGATGGATAGTTAGATGATAGATGGATGGATAGTTAGATGATGGATGGATGGATGGTTAGGTGATGGATGGATAGATAGATGATGGATGAATGAATGGATGGATGGATGGATGGATGGATGATGGATGGATAGATGATGGATGAATGAATGAATGAATGAATGGATGGATGGATGGATGGATGGATGGATGGATGGATGGATGGATAGATGGATGGATGGATGGATGGATAGATAGATGGATGATGGATGGATAGTTAGATGATGAATGGATGGATAGATGGATGGATAGTTAGATGATAGATGGATGGATAGTTAGATGATAGATAGATAGATAGATAGATAGATAGATAGATAGATAGATAGATAGATAGATAGATAGATAGATAGAGATGTGACTAAAAAGCGAGCTAAATAAATAAAAGCCGTGAAATGATGTCTATCAATGCTGAGTGTTATAATTGCCCTTAAGGGTTGAAAGCTTCAATAGAGATAACGTTAGATGGATGCAGGTGAATTGAAGCTGCAGAGGAGCTGGGTCTCCAGGCGCGTGGAGGGGCTGAAGCTGCGGGGCTCCAGTGCGTTCCTTCACTACCTGGGTGTGTGTGTGTGTATGTGTGTGTGTGTGGCGCGTGGCTCAGCGTTCGGAGCAGTTGGTCCATCCTCCTCCTCCTGCTTCTCCTCCCCCTGCTCCTCCTGCCTCCACAGAGTCGAGCAAAAGGCTGGGGAGGAGCGACATACTGCTTCAGTCATCAGCGGGTAGAGAAGCGGAGGTCTGCGCAGACTGTACCGGCAGAACCCGTCGGTGGAGCGTTATCTCACGGTAAGCTAACGGTCGGTGGCACTGCGACGCGGCCGACAGCCGGTGCTGACACTGACCGCAGCCTGCCTTTCTAAAATCACCCTTTTGTTTTTATTCTTCTTATTCTGTGTTGTTTTATTAGTAGCGATATTTAGGTGACCGTGTGAGGTGACAGCGGCTCTGCCTCCGGCTAGCAGCCGCTCTCCGCCGTTAGAGGCGATCCAGGGGGTTACGCTGAAAAACACACAGGCTCAATCGTGGCAGTTGCTTCTGCTTTTTTATTTCTGCTGAATTAAGAGCTAATTGTCTTGCTTATACCAAAGTGTGTTTCTGTTGGTGGGTTCAAACAAGCCCCCCACCTACCCACCCACGCTGTGCATCATTTCCCCAGCCTGAGCCGCGCGGTGAAGTCCCGGAGCAGGAGGTCCGCTCCGCTCCCTCCTGGTTCGGTGTAAAAATAGCCCGGCCGGTATGTCAGCTCAGCTCAGCTCAGCTCCTGGTCACACCCCTACCCAAACAGAGAGGAGAGATCATTTTCCCGACACTAGACCACCGTCTGGTTCTGCGGGTCAACAGGAAGCTGCAGAGGATCCACCTGTTCCCCTGCACCCTGCGAGTAATAAGCCTGGCACCTCATAAACAGGCCAGGGACACATTTTAGACAGATCAGATGTGTCCTAGACAAGGTCCTAGTTATAACTACACATATTAAATAACAAATAAGACGCGGAATTAATGGAGATGTGTAATTCCTGAACCCAATGATCAATGAAAAGCTCAGAAAAACCCCAAAACATGCATAAGGACCGCAAAGCATCTGCAGGATGCCCTGCTGACACTCACAGATGTACAGTTTTTTCTTTTGATGGTGCTATTTAATTTTGTATATCTGTATTTTGGGCTGGGAGAAGGTTATATGGACTTTAAATGTAATCAGAACATATACAAGTTTCTCTGCAGACTGTTTTAAAGGGAACTAACGGTGGCTTTTACTGTGTGTCCCTGCAGTCCTATAATGCTTTATAAAACATAATCGTCTTTTTTTTATTCCACACTTGCATAAAGATGTAGGATTTTTTTTTTACCGCTGAACTGCACAAAGTAACTGCAAATTATATTTTTTCAAATCTATTAAAACTTTCATGTAACAGTAGTAAAAAAAGAGAATGAAAGTTATCAATCATGACAATACATTAAGTATTAACTGGTCATTTTTATTGTCACGATAAATAGAAATTCTTATTATAAACTACATTTTTTTATGATTACGAAAAACAATGCATTAAATAAAACAAGATAAATCATCATTTTTCACATTTATTTTTATGCTTAAGTAGGATGCAGATGATATGCATGCTATGAAAACAATAGTTATATGTAGGAAAACATTACTTTAATCACTGGAAGTTTATTCCCTTATATGTTGAATGAACATTCATTCATCAATATCCAAAAATGTGGTTTCTTCTTCGCCACTTTCTGTCATCTAAGTCATGTGTGTCCATCTACAGTAACAGGCCGGATTACAATAAAGACATGAAAATTAGGAAGCTATAAATATAACAGCAACACATTTTGCATTCTGGTGTTGCAGACACTGACCTTGCATTCATTTCTGGATGAGTTTTTTTGGGACCTTCCTTTCTAGCAAAAGAAGCAGCACATCTTGCCACCCTGCTGAGTTGCTCTTATGCATATCGTCTTTTTGCTCTATCCTGGGTTTGATTTCAGCTGCAGAGCAATGCAGCTGTGAAAACCACAAGTTACCTTCGTGATAAGACTTATGCGGCTGGCCAGGTGCTGATGGCAGGACGGCATAACCTAAATCTCACATGTGCAACCTACTTTCTTTTAGATATTCAGTCCTCTTAAAGTGGGGTGTGAGATAATGCATTCTACCCTGCAAAGGGCTGGCTAAAAGATTCACCAGAAAAAGGAACCGAAAACGAAACTCTTCTAGGGAAAATAAAGAATTTAAAAAACGATGTGCACACAACCAAAACTGAAATTGAAATGATGACACTAAATTTCTTCTTGTTGTTCCCCAATTAGAGGCTTGACAACAGAAAGCTTTGACATTATGGGTCACGGTTAGCCTCTAAATTCACAATAATTGTTTTGGAAACCACTTCCTGAGTATTTCCTAATGAGCTCTCTGACTGAATAGAGAGAGAAAAAAAATGATATCCTGATTTAGATTCAGCCAGACCCTTAGAGAGAAAACACAAACCGCAGCTTCTTTGACCAGAGGCAGAGAGGATTTCTTGTTTTATTCTTTTCATGAGATGGAGCGAGGGGGGATGATAAAGAAAACTGCAGAAAGCAAATATGAATATAAATATTTACAACCACAGAGTTCAGGCTGACAAGTCTAAGCAACCAAAATACAGCCTATAAGATTTTGATTGGTAGATTATTTTGTAGGTCTTGATTGCAAAAAGAATTGCAGCAGGTTTAAAGACTTAAAGCAGCTTTTGGAGACGTTTTTTTCCCAGTCCTGTGTCAGCGTGGATGAGCTGCGAAGCTATTGGCCGCAGAAGAAAGGTTTCCCAGTGAGCGAGTGGCTTCGAAGGGCTTTGGAGAGAGCAGCAGATGGATGATGATCTAGCGGGAACTGGTGCTCCCTGCCTCCCGCCGCCATCCGTCATACGCTAATGATCGTGTCACACCTTCTCCCCGGGCGGCCGGCCACTTCTGCAGCGCTCAGCTCAAAAACTGGTGGCAGCGCTCTAATCCCCTCTTCACTGCTGTCGGCTGAAAAGCCTGGAAGCTGGAAGTGTTGCTGCAAGCCTCTCCATCACCAGTTCCTCTATTTTTCCTCCATCCTTCATCACCTCCTTTTTATTCCTCTTTCACCTTCAAAGCCTCTGAAAAAGGCTTTTTCGTCTCTCTTTATCCTTTTCCCTCTTCCTCATCTGCTTCATAGCCTTTCTCCTCATGTCTTTCTTCTAATGCCATCTGACATATCATCTCCTGTTGGTGTAAATGCACAGGCATAATCTAATCCCATCCTGCTTTACATCCAGATTCTCTTTGATCGTGATAATTAAAGGAGATGCGTTGATTCCCCCCTCCCTCTGTGAGGTCTGGGGTCAGGGATGGCCACAGGGCAGCGAACATGGAGCTGGTGTGTTTGGCTGACAGACAGCTCAGCAAGAACTCGCCAACAGCACATTAGGGAGCCCGCCAACCTTATTATGTCCTTCTGGGCTGTTTACACAACTCGACCATTTCCTTTTCCACAGGCTGTGGTAGAGCTCCGCACTGATTCAGATCTTTATTAGTGTTTTGTTAACTGCAAAACTTCAGCGGTTAGAGATCCAAACAAAAAGGCTTCCAGTGGATTTATTTTACCAATTAGAGGCTGCCAGTAATCTGATCCGATGTGTTTATCATCAGGTTGAAAATTTGAATAACTGAATCTTTGCTGTTTATTAAACTCATCAATAATACAAACTGCAACAGTGCTTGATCTATAAATCTGATTTACATCTGTCCAACAGCACATACATCGATACAGTTGTTTTCTTCACATAAAAATAAGATAAAGGGACGTTTGTTTTGACGGAACAAAATCAGATCATCCTGTAATTCTTTTGCTTGCTGTTGGATTTATAAATGGTAAATTGCCTGTACCTATATAGAGCTTTTTTAGGTCAGAGGACTTGACCAAAATGCTTTACACTACATTCACATTTACCTATTCACACACACACTGATTTAAAAGTAAAGAAGTGTAAATCAGCACCACATCTGTGCTGTTTTATGTGTTTTGGTCCATAGAAAAAATGGAATTGGAAGGTTAAATTTTGAAGAAACTGCTGCATAATCTAGTTTTTTTTTTTCTTTTATGCTGTTTTGTCCCGATAGACATTCTTTAATTAAGAATATTTATCGAGGCATATGTCTCTAAGCTTTGTGATGTTCTGGTTAGTTGAAAAAAGACAGCTTTATAGAAGCTAAAATAAAGGAGGTATTGATCGCTGATCACTAATGCAATTGATTTGGCAGGTCCAATCTCTAGCCAACTGCTTTATGATTTCTTTGTAAAAACTGAGATTTATTTATACTTTTATTTTAAAAGGTGGAATTTTCAACTGTATGTTTTCGATGGTTTCATTGTAAAAAATGTTTTCCTATATATGCCATTGTGTTTCCCTAAAATGCCAGCGGGATGTAAACTCCATTCAGCTGTTAAATAGTCATGTTGTGGGACTTGGCATCCTCTCAGCTCGTTATTCCCTCTCAGGTGTTGCAGGGCCCAAGCGTCCCCTAGAGCAGCGTGTTACAGCAGACCACGCTCCGTTTTAGAAAAGATGCTGGAATGCCACTTCTCCCTCCTCCTTTATGTGCTCTGGTCCCTCCAATCGTCTCACCGCGGGGGTGGTGGTGCGGGGGGCATCAGGGATTCGGCTCCGCATTCTGGGAATATCAGTTGCCAGATCGGATGATGCTCCCTCTCTCTCTCTCCTCCACAGCTGCTGTTTCTAAGAAAAGCTCAAGGACGGGCTTTCAACGCACAAACATACCGTACGCACGCCAGGTTTCATTTCCGGGCAGAAGGCTCATAACATGCTTGCTGAAGACACAGAGGGCACACTCGCAGTAAAACAATTACTACTGTAGGGCAGCAATTAGCCTTTCTGGAAGTGGAGACAAACGTTTTACACACAAACAATCCCAAGAATGGATGCAGGCTTTTATCCTCCGACAGCTGCTGGAAACAAACAGGCAGCAGTGTTCCTGCCTTAAACCCGCTGACAATTTTTCCCCTCTCTCTTGTGTTTTCTGATTTCTTCAGGCTGTTTTCCATCGACCACTGAAGGAGCCTACAGAGAGGAGGACGTGATAATTGCATTTTTCTCTGCGCCGCAGGAACATGGGATATATGACCCAATCATTCACTCGTAAGGCTCTCCAGTAAACAGTTCCACACAGGTAAATATCCAACCGATGATATCCTGAAAACAAAATTAAATGTGCAAATACATCATTATTTGAGTGCGTTTTCTTTTTTTTTTTTTTTTGTCCAGAAGGATGACTGAGGCAGTTATAAAGAGTGCAGATGTCCTTGTAAAACCCTGTGACACAAAAAGCTGCCCCTCCCCATCGCCATGCCTGCCCCCCTGCAGTCAGAAGGGGGGTGAGGAGTGTCACACTGACATTAAGATGCTTCAGCAGCAGGTAAGTGACATTTAACAACACACACTGCTAATTAACCCCACTAAGATGATTCATCTTTCTTCCCAGCATCACTTGTCTTTTAAGTTCTGCTAATAAATTGTTTCCCTTCGCCTTCAGGAACACTGTAACCAGGTGATACCAAAGAAAAAATTCAAGGTAAGCTACAGTTGTGTCCTCCTCTCATTACTCGTTTTTGCTCGGATATCGATTCCATCAGGGTCCTATGAATTTTTAATAAAGCTTGTGCATGTTTGTTTGTCTTTTTTTTATTTCAGCCTAAAGGAAAGTTAGTACGCAGCATGGCGATCAGCGAGGAGTCCTCTGAGTTTGAAGAAACTAAGGTACTCTCACGTCTCATAATCTTCCACCCTCCTCTTTAGCCTCAGCGCTGTGCTGAAATTAATCTTTAGATATCTTCTGTTTCAGGAGTCCCTAAAAGCAGACATCCCATCTAGCTGCCATGAAAACAAGAAAACTCCCAGTAAAGATGAAGAAAGGGAGAAGAGCCCCGATCCAAAGAAACCATCACTGTCCAAAGGTGTGTGTCTGCATAAAACACTTCTTTCCCTCCCAACTCTATTTTTGTTCCAGGGGTTAAGTATTTTTCCATCTCTGCTTTCTGTGTCTCTCTTTCAGAGTCCAGCGTGGAGTACACAGATTCAACCGGCATAGATCTGGACCAGTTTATCAAGGACACCCTTAACAGCAACCCCAGAGACCGCCTGACGCTGCTCAAACTGGAGCAGGACATGACTGATTTCATCTACAGCCATAGGTGAGTCCAAGTGAAGCAAATGTAGAGACTTATTCACTACGAATCAGCTGTTGTAACATCTCATCTCCATCTCTCAGTCCTTTTAAAAAGTTCCCTCAGATGTCGTCCTACCACCGCATGCTGGTGCATCGGGTGGCCGCCTACTTTGGGATGGAGCACAACGTGGACCAGACAGGCAAGTCTGTCATCGTCAACAGGACCAGCAACACGCGCATGTAAGCGCACATAATCCATCTATGTGTCTCCCTGTGGCTGCTTTACCTTTATTGTGGACTATTATATTTGAATATTTGTCTTTTAGACCAGATAAGCGCTTTGCAGACATGGTTCACAAGGACAAGGCCGAAGAGACCCTGCCGTTAAAGATACTATTAAAGAGGGACATCTCAGACGATCAGGTCTGATTTTGCTCTTGGAAAAAAAAAAAAAGACCTCCATAGGTGACATTGATCACAATCCATCCTTGATTCATCTCCTTCTTTATGTCCTCTCCCAAACAGGGCCGCCACCACCCTTTACTTGAGAGGCAAAGTAAGTCAATGGAGGAGAGAGAAGAGGAGTACCAACGGGCACGAGAACGAATCTTCAACGAAGAGGTGAGAGAAAGAGACCGAGACGGACAAAATGAGACGAAGCGACAAAAAAGATGGAGCTAATTTCTTCTATGCACCTCTTCCTCCCTCCTCTTTACAGCCACTCTGCACTCAGGAGAGCGTCCATGCAGAAAGCAGGTAACCTTGCCTGAGGTGGATATTTTCCATGTAACTTTCAGCATATTATATTTAGATGAGCTCATTAATATGCGTCTGTGTGCACGCAGGGACGTGGAGGAGTACAATCCATATGTCGAGACCCAGAGGAAAAGACAGCTCTTCAGGTAAGGCTCTGTCTGCAAACACGCAGCCATTTATCATCTTAATCTGGTCAGCCCGGCTGGCGCTTTTCAGACTCCGCAGCAGAAACAGGCAAGAGCTAGATCTTTTTTTTTCTTCCTTTGTGTCAGCATTGAAAATTGCTGGAAGAAAAATAAAGTCTGCAATAAAAAAACCTTGATGGATTAATGGATACGGGCCTGATCCTTTTATTGCTTGCTGCATATAGACTGTAATGAGCAGTGAAGTTTAAAATAATCTTTTCATATTATCAATCATGCTCTCTTTGTCAGGAAGTAATGTATTATTTTTAAGATTTTTTAAGGCTGTAGGGCTTTTATTTTATAATTTTTTTAAAGCAGGCAGACAGGGATTTAGATTTTTAAGGTTGCTCAGCCAGAGTGTTGACTTAAACGTCTGTGGAGGAGATAAACATTGGGGGAATGGTTTAGATTTCCTCCAACCTTAAAGACTTTCAGTCTAATTACCAGAGATAACTGTACCTTGTCAAAAACACTAATGCAAATAAGAAAGCTGATATGTTTCTGTATCTGTTGTATTCAATCGCATTACCTATATGAGTCCCTTTGTGCATATATTTTATATTTTGTCTACAAACGGTTCATAAGCTCACTGATGAAGCAGCTCTGATCGCTGCGTCTCTTTTAATAAGACTGTGGATGTGCCTCACAGGAAAAGCCGTGCAAACTCCAGCTCCAGCTGGACAGGCAGCAGCAAGCAGAGCAGCACTGAGACCGACTATTGCTATGGCAACGAGCCCCCACCCTGGAGCAGCACCGAGTCTGATTCCTCCTTTCAGTGGACGAGTCCAGCTGTGAAACCCCACCAACCTTCCGGCCAGTGCTGGGATACGCAAAGTTCAGGTGCGTATTTATTTCAAGGTTTAGGTAGAAAAAAACAACACGTTTAATTTAGCTTTGCAGCACTTGCTGCTCGTCTCATGGAGGTGTAAACTCAGTCATCAGAGGTGAGGGGCTTCACTCCTCCACACCTGTGCACAGGGAAAAAGAGGCACAGGCTTCAGAGCCATCACTCAATTTATGTGTGGTGGTTTTATTCAGCAGAGTCTAATTAACCAAAGCAGTTAAATTTCTTCTAGTGTGAAAATTAAACTCCAATATACAAATCTTCACACCAGAGCTGTAAATTTTCACACAACACCCCCAGTCTTCCTCACATGTTGAGGAGAGGAACAAACGTCATCGTTACTGCAGATCAGCTCGTTTTTAGCTCAGCCTAGAGACGTCTGCTTCCCCTCCCTATGCTGACATTCTGCTACATGTCACGTCTCTGTCAGGCTCCATCTCACTGTACAGACTGCCGTCCTCTTGTCCACACGCTTCCCCTCCTCCTCCCATCATCGAGGAGCCCGCTAACAACTACGTCCCAGAGAAAGGGATCCCACCAGGGAGCATATTAGTAAACCCTCTTACTGGTACGGAAACACACAAACGGCACTATTCTATTAAAAGCGTGTTCCCGGTCTTCACAGTTAACCTTTAACCTCACAGGGCAGCCTTACCTGAACCCTGATGGGACCCCTGCTGTGTACAACCCTCCAGACAGTCAGCAGCCAATCAGGAGCCAGACTCTGCCACCGCAGCAGCAGCAGGTAACACACAAACACATTGCTACTACACACACTATAGTTACCTTTAGTGTCAGTTTAAAGAGGGACAGCAGAGGCAGGAAAGGAAAGCACACATGTGGGGTAAGACATTAGAAAAGAAGTGCGCAAGTAAATAAATAAGTTATGGACATAAGAAAGTAGGACACATGAGTAGAAGCCCAAAAGGATTTAATTTAGACTAGAGTGAGGGCAGTTTTAAACTAACTTTAAAGTCTTGGATGTAACTATTTGTTTTAAATCATGAAAAATAAAGTCATACATGCCAAATACGATACACAGTGACGTGTTTTTCTGTCTCTCAGGTGGTTCAGTACCCGTCTGTCTCTTACACCGCACCCCAGATGTTGGCCGTCACTCCCACACAGCCATACCCAGCAGTACGTATCACCAAATGACTCATCTGCAAGTGTGTGTGATGGTACTAACCTCTTCTCTGACTGAACAGGTTGAAGATCTCTCCACACAGTTTACTCATGTGACGGTGAGCTGCCCATCAGCAGGAGACGCTGCACCCATCTACCCTCCCAGTCAGGGTTACATCTATGCAGCTCCTGTCCCTCTGAACCAGCCCAACTACTGCCAACCCACACCTCAGGCATGTTCCTTTTCATTCCTGTCAGAATTTACTTTGGGAAATCTTTCTATAACAGAGATGATATCATCCATTAGGTGCCTGTGTATGTTTGCGGCCCGTACCCTACCTCAGCCCAGGCTGGATTCAGGCCAGTTTCACCCTCCCAACATGTCCGCAGCTCAGCAGCAGCACAACCAGCAGGTGCTTTCTCTTTCTTGTGTTTTGTATTTTTGTTTTGGACCAAACGACCGTGGCAGTAGAGGAGGGGGCCGTTACACTGTCAGAGATGTAGTCTGAGGGTCTCACAGTGAACCGGTCTCTTTTCCTGCTGTTTCTTAGCATCAAAGAGAGGACAAGGTTTAGTTTCCTCATCCTGGTTACATTTCTCACCACAAGTTTTCCTTTTATTATATTATTTTGGTGTTTTAAAGAAAATGTAAATCAGTCAATTCTAAATACTATTTATTTTCATGTCTATAGATAAGCTGACTGCAGGGTTGTTATTCCAGTTAATAGCCTGAGTCATCAACCATTAAGAAATGAATTATAGATTTATTCTGTGCCTTGTAGGACAAGTTAAAGCTATTAAAGAGATAATCAAGTAAATTCAAATCCACAAGTTTCCCAAGCAACATGTCTAAACAAATGAAACTTGATTTTAGGAAGAATGCAACAGAAACATTATCCTTTACAATATAAACTACTAAATGTGAAGGATTAAAAATTAATAGAGCTATTATAAGTTTGCTTTATCATTTTAACTTTAGTTGCAGTGATTGCTTCTTTTCTGCTATGAAGAAATGCAATAAGGCCGTAGTATTCAAAGGTCAACTCTCTTTAAAATATGCAAGATGCAACATAAAAAACATTACTTTGTTTTTATTTATTCTTCTAATTAACAATTTTTTCGCCCCGTGTTACAGTTGTGATGAAATCAGCTGTTAATAATTCAAGTTGTCCATCTGTGTGCAGCAGGTTACCCCTCTGCTGTGAGGGTGCCGCAGTCTTCCCAACCCATGCTGGGGACTTACACACCAGTTGCCTCCCACCAGTGTAGCATAGTTCAGGTAAACCAAAGAATTCCCCCGCTGCATTAAGTAGTTCAAAAAAAAAAGAAAAAAGCTTTTTGCAAAATTCTGCATGTTTCTTGCTCTCTACAGGGAGGTGTTTCAGTGCCCTTTCCCCAGAGTAAAGTAGGGAGTGGGGGTGTCGGCGATGCGGGGTATTGCTGCGTGGTTCCCCCACCTCCTCAACACAGTAGCTGCACAAACCTCAGACCGACAACCTGGAACGGCCAGTATTAATGGAATGACGATACCTTGGTTTCTGTTTCAATTCACTTGCTTTCACATGTTTTTTTTACGTAAACATGTTTTGCACCCTGTCACCTTTACCCCCCCTCCCCCCTTTCCTCCTGTCAGTGTGGGTATGCTTTTCTCACACTCACGATATAGTATCACTCATAGACATATGTTCCACTTACCAAAGCTTAGTAGAATATCTAAGAGCTGCTGTACTGAATGCATAATTTATATACACAAATGGAGTTTTATATTGGTATGAAATTATATATATATAAATATATATTGTGTTTTAAGGAAATGCACTGTGTGAAAAGAATAAAGTGCCATGGTTTGACTGATGAAGTCACATGACTGTATCACTCTTTGTCTCCGTTTACTCAAACCGAAAGTTGACGTCATTGGCAGTACAGGGAGCTATGATATGTGGAAATATTACCAGAAGATGCCATAAACCTTTTGTGGTAAAACCAATAAGCAGCAATCTGGAGATTAGAGACACAGTCCTGATGGTGGGGGATAAAATTATTAATTTCTCACAAATAAACTAAGAGACAAAGCGAGTTGATTGACAAAAACTTATGAGGCCTTTTCATGTGGGTGACAGCAGAGGAGAATAGACTCCCTATTCTTCAACAAGACACTAGCACCCCCTGGTGTTAAACAGTGTTCATTGCTTCAGCTAACCTTTCTAAACTTCATGAATAGATTGGTGTGGTATTTAAACATTTTTACTTTTGCTAAAATCACAACAGGATCGTTTTCCTTACAGCCTAATAATGTACGCCGTTAGCAGTTTGCCTGCTGTAGGTTTAAAACTGCATTACCTCAATAAAAAGCAGAAGCTTCTTGCTTCACTTGGATAAAACTAGTTATTGGAACTTATTTAGTTGAATCCATTTAGACTTCAAAGCTGCATCCAACTACAGCTGTCACCACAGTATCACAATCTGATCCATATATGATTAGGTAGAGTCAGGCATAAAAAGCCCTGCATTATCTTTATCAGTGATAAATTAGGCTAGTTGGAGAGACTTTCCTCAATGTCTGATGTAGATCATTAGGAGCTAAGATGATAAAGATCATGGAAAAAATATATAGTGGAAAACAATCGCATCACATGGAAAAAAAAACCCAATTGTGTTACACTACTTTGAAGGAGAGGGACATATTTATGTAGAAAAGTTGAAAAAAAAAACACTGGTTCCTTAAAGACAATGAAGAAATAACGTAAAAAAAAATGTTTTAAGAAACATTCTCTATATTCATAGTAAAGGCACATTAGTGACAACTTAGCTGAACTGCAGTTTCCCCACTAAGCCATCACTGAAAATGAGCCAGCAGGCATCACAGAGCCCCTGAAGCAGCTAAATGAGATTCAACCGCCACTAACTTTATTTACACCGGCGTTTATTTTCCTACTAAGCATCCACTCAAGCATATCCAGAATCCCAAGTTCTTCCCAGATTCAATTAGCTTTCTTACAGACATGCAGGACGGTGTCATTATGTGAAAACAGTCGCTTTCAGGTCTTCAGGCAATCTTCATTTTGCTCTGCTGCAATACAGCAGCTCTCACTGTCATCCCAGCAATAGCAGCTGATGTGCTATTGTTTCAAACGCCGGCTAATTAAGTTTGGTACTCTGCGTGATTCATGCTCTTCCCTTCGAATCCAATGAAACATATCCATCACCCACACGAGCCCCTCAAATTAAATTTAGATTTCATAACTGCGGCACAGAATGCATAATTTATACTGGCCAGTGTTTTTTTTTTCTTTTTTTTCTGCAGAGCCTATTTCTGTCCAGCATTTGACACGGAGTCACACACACAGGCAGAAGCAGCTGCGCAGGTTCCATCATCTTTAATAAAAGGCACATGTACAGCCAAAGTGAGATGAGTGAGTCCACCGGCATAGAGATGAAAGCATCAAAAACACACAAATACAGGAAGCAGAGGTCTGGAGGAGAGAGATCTACCTGGCTTTACAGTAGAATCTACATCAGAAACATCGTCTCGCTTTCCTTCAAGTATGTCTGACTCTAACCTGTCTCCGTTAGGTCAGACGCCCCTCGTTCCCATCCCACCACGCACATACACACCGGATCTCTTCCATAGATCCTCAGATCTTCTGTGGTTCGTTTACTTTGTGGTAAACCCATATTCAATTAGGGAGAAAAGAAAAAAAAATCATTAAAAAGTTTAATCAACTTTTTTTGTTGTTGATAAAATTCAAAGGAGCAATTAAACTAGCTTCCATAAAAACATGTTTTTTTTTTTAAGAAACTGCTATGACAACATGAAAAGAAAAAGAAATGCTTTTATGTAAAACAGGTGAATAAAAAAAACACCCAGCCCCGTTTAGTTAACAGAAAGCAACGGACACAGTAAAGCCCCTGAATGCCTTGTTTGTGGTCCAGCCTTGCTAGTGTCGCCCTGGAGCTGGTTTTCACCAGGACGCCACAGCTATGATCTGTTAACACGCGTAAACGTTCATTCGTAAAACTCAACATTCAATCAGAAAGGAAAGGAAAGAGGTCATAGGTACTTAAATATTTAACTAAAGAGGCTGTTAGTTTTGGAGGTAAAATACAATGGCTGCAGGAGAATAGAGGAAAATCTGAGAACTAAACGCTGCCCGGCCGTCTCTCCTCCTGAAGGATAGAAGAAAGGGGGGCAGTGGTGGAGTACTGCAGTCGTTTATCGCACATAAAAATGATTGGAAAGGTGTTGAAGGAGGGGGAGAGAGAAAACAAAAAAAAACCTGGTGAGCAGAGGGAAGCGGGGAGATAAAACACACATATTCTGCTTCCCACCTCCATTCACACCTCTAAATAACAGCTGAGCGGAGTCAGTCGCTCTGTTTTCACATTATCACCTGTCTTTGGGATGTTTCAACATGCCAGCCGAGCTCCGGCTGCACGCCGTGGACCATCACTTCATCTTTTTTTTTTTTTTCTTGTTCTCAAACATTCACAAAGCATCCAACACAAACACACAATCGGACGTGTGCGACCTTTGTCTGTGGGCGCCCGAAGTGAAAAGTCACCCACAAACCACAGGTACGCACCAACCCACCCTGTCTGTCCTTCACTCCCCAGGTTTCCACACAACCCGTCTTTTCTTCACAGCAACTCCTAGCTTTACTTGAGCGAACCAGCTCACCATTGGGTTAAAAAAAAAAAAGAAACTGCTTTATTAGGTGTTTTGTGACTAGGGTGCATGGGTGTGTGTGTTTGTATGCGTTAAGAGGTATCAATGGCTCAGTGGCGTCTCTTTAATCATCACGTCCTCTCTTTGACGCTAGCCTTCAATCCACACGCTTCTTCTCCTTCACTGTTCCGACGTTCTGCCCTCTCCTCCTCCTCCTTCTCTAGAGGTCTCTATTTTTGGACTTGGAAGATGAACAGGCGCAGGTTGATGTTTTTGGCGGCCAGCAGTTTGTTGCACTCCACCGAGTCGGAGATGGGCAGAGGGACGTAGTCGGTCTCGTTTGTGTCGTTGCTGAAGGAGTGGTGGTAGATGAGCGGCTTGATCCGCACGTCGTCGTACGGCCCCTTCAGGAGCAGGAAGGAGCACTCCAGGGCAGAGTTCACCTGCGTGCAAGAGGAAGACCACAAACGTGTGTAGAAATTGTTTTTTTGTTTTTGTAGTTGTTTTTTTGGTAAACAAAAACTGCTATGAAAGGTGAGAAACTGGATGTGCTAAAGATGGGACAGACTTTCACCTTCTTGTACACAATCATTCTAAAACAGTCAGAGCTACGCTGATATTTGTTAAGATCAAATCACATTCTTTTGAAAACAACTCAGTCAAACTCAAATCCAAAGGAGAATCTGTGGCAAGACTTCAAAAAATGGCTCTTCTTACCATATCATGTGCAATATCCCATAATGTCCAAGACCTACCATGACTAACAATAAAAAAGTTGTTAATGTCTTTCCTACTGCAGATAGTGAGTAATTTATTCAGCGGGTGGGGAAAATTAGAATTCCCTCTGAACTGCATCTCATTACTTCAGCTGAAAACTTAACGCCCTTAGAAAAGCAGAAAATCCATCCTGGGAACCTTTAACTGTTGTTTCATTTGTCAAACAACAACAAAAAGAAGTTGTTTTTTTCTTACCTTTCACAATAGCGTGCTGCTTTGTCGTAGTCTATCGTACAGAACAAATTGAAGTTGTAACAAAAAATGAAGTCCAAGAGGACTCCCTTTGCTGCTCCTAAAAACATTAAGCAACTTACTATGAAGGGAAACATCTACATCTTTGAGATCTTAATGAAGTTTAATTTTTTTTTTACGCTGTTAGGAATCCATTACTGCGTTTATGTTTTGTTTGGTTATGAACTAAATTTATGTTTATGTTGTCTAGAGCTCTAATAATACAGAGTGTGTTTATGGCCGTCTTACACTGTGCGATCTAATAAGCCTGTCTGTCGCACAGATCTTACAAAAAATCTGGTATAGCATCAAGTTTGATGTATGCAAATTGTACGGCTACAGCTTACGACCAAAATGGTGACAACATACGGCAATATTTAACTTCATCATCAGGTGTCATCCATCTGTGAGGGCAGAAACACGGCGTCTTTCTGGGGGAAAGAGACCAAACTGGGATGTTATTTTCAAGGCGAGTTGGAGGTATGATGTAACATCTCACCCTTATGGAAGAACAGTACAAATACGACATCTGAACGCCTTGCATTCATCTTCTCTATCGGATCTTTATGTGGGGCGCTTCAAGCAGCAGCTGCATTTCTATTGGCTGATCGGTAGACATAGTTTATAGCAGCTGTCACACTGTCAGATATTGAACCTGCCTTATTGCAGTGTCAGACCACAAATTTAGAGCCACAACTGAAGTTTCTTTTTAAATTATCCTCTTTGCACAGTGGACCAATTATTAGGTTGTAGTGCTAAAAAAGCTGGGTGATCTGAAATAATCCATCTATCTTTAGTGCCTGAAGATGGTGCAAGATGTAAATCTTACAACAACAGGGCAGCTTTGGATCGTTTGATGTGGTAGGTACAAATCTGTGGACAAAAGGTTTCGACTACGAAGCACTTTAATTTCTGATATTTTACAAACTGCACAATTATCTACTAAACTCATCCCGAAGTGTTCAGCTAATGTTAGCTAATGGTGGCATCCACACTGGGGAGCTGAACTGTTTGCTGGCCGCTACGTATCATTTGCTGCTAATCTCATTTAGCTACTATCTGTTGGTTAGGTCAGCTGCTTAAACTCGGGATTAATTATGTAGCCACAGACTCTGGATGCAGTCATGAAGAATCGTGTTTCAAATAGAAAAATCAAGAATATGACACTGATAAGAACTTTTTCCAAAGAGCTAATTTATTTAGAAAATCTCTGGTAGTTGACTTGGTTTTCTCTATTTGTATTTTCTCTTTGTAAAATGTCTGTCTGACTCTGGAAGCATCATTATATATCCGTATCCTCAGGAGTGAAGCCATTTGAAGGCTAGTGGAGAACCTGGAGTCGTTTATCAGAGTCATGTGTCTAATGAAGGAGAAGGATGGCTGCAGGGACACGCCCACATCACACCGCACCAAGAACGAATCGCTCCGTGTTTCTCTGAGGGAAAAGGCAGCCAGCCAGCCGCTACTTGCCTCCTGGTCCCTGGAGGCCTACGCACAAAGAAGTGTGATCTCTAAGGAGATTCCACCACCTCTTAAATTAGTTGCATTAACCAGCTTAGCTCAACTCTCCAGTCTGATGTTTTTGTTTATTCCACCCAAACATGTTTACAACCCATATTGTAAGATTTCTAACCATTACATGAAGAGATGCTCCATCACAGATGTTCTCTCATATTTGGAATGTAGGACATTTAATTTGGATTTTCTTTAAAAATAATATGGCAGGACAGTGCAACACAAGATGGAAAATCGATAATAAATGGAAACAAGCACCAGCAACAGAAGATAGAATGAAAAACAGAAAAAAAAAACCCGGAATAAAATAAGGAAAGCAATAAGATGGAGGACTCAGGAATGAATGAATGAATGAATAAGCTGGTTACCAGTCAGAGCAATCAAGGGAAAACAGCTTATCTCCATCTTTGATCACCATTGAGCATAAAATTTCTTCACATTTAAGGTAGTCTGACCTTATTGCTCTTACAATTCAAACCTTTGCAGTAAACGTGCATGGAGCCCCTGTTATCAAGCAGTCATGTAGAAAGTAAAATGGAGGGAGCAGTTGGGTGGAGGCCTAAGGTTTAGGCCATAGAGCTTGAAATCCAGAGATTCTGAGTTCAAGCCCCACTCCCACAGACTGCAACTCTGGGTCCCTGAGCAAAGACCCTTAACCCCACTCTGCTCCCCGGGCGCTGTGCAATGGCAGCCCACTGGGATGGGTTAAATGCAGAGTTCATTTTGTTGCTCTGTACTTGCGACAATGTAATGACAATAAAAGCTGGGGGGAAAAAAGGAACATATACCTTGCTCTTGAGGATGAGCTGGAAGGAGAGCGTACGCTTGCAGGAGAGATTGGGATTGCGCTCTGAATCATTGACCCGGGCCTTCAGTACCCACGTCTGGTTGAGAACAGTGAAACGTGGGGTTTCATAGTACAGACGAGTAATGAAGTCATCAGTGCGGTACGGTCTGAACTGCACCTCTGAAAGGATGCAGACAGATAAGTATGAGATAAACAGAAATAAGGAGAGCGGAAAAGCTTCCAGATTCATATGCAGAAACTATCTAGATGGGGTACCTGTGAAGCCGATCTTCTCATAGCACAGCAGGCTAAAGATACTGTTATAAAGCTGCATGTCCCTGCGGTGACTCTGGTCCATCTCTCCCAGTATTCCCATCAGTTCTGTACCAGTCTTGGTCGGATGAGAGCACTCGCCCTCGTGTGCCGGCAGCTCGTGAAACGGGCCTTGCCAGGGGCAGCCGATTCTCTTGTACTTGCACTGCGTCACCCTGAAAACATGACATGCAGATGCAGCGAGTGATGAAAAAAACAACAAAACACGGATGATGTTTGATATAAATTAGATCCTGTACTTTGGGACGCTTTCACTGATTGGAAGTTAAGGGTATGAAAGGTAATAATTAACCCAGGAAGTGAACTGCAACAAATGAATGTAGTGTTAGGATAAGGGCAAAGCTTCATTGATTCATATCAATTACACCATGGATAAAGGTGAATTTTAATAAATATCTGTTCTTCTCTAAAAGTAAAATTACGTATTTCATGAATCTGAAAGGTGCTACTTAGTCTCTGCAGTGAGCCAAAGGTAATTAAAGGCGCTCTTACATAATTCTTCCCTTGCCCAATTCAACCAGAACAAAAATAACTGCGGTCTGTGGTTATAATTACAGCAAATTAAAGGTGGAGTTGATCACAGCATTTCTGTCAATGTGAACATTGTCATCGCCGCCTTCTGAAAGGAGGCCGGTTGCATTTTCCGTCTGACCTGACTGAAAACCACCTGCAGTCTGCTGCAGCTCATAACGACGCTCACAGGCGCGCCTCTCGTCACAGCTGGGTCATCTTTTGCCATGGAAACGACCTAGCACATTTTCAGACTCACCTGTGACTAATGCATGCTTTAAAATCTCTTCAGCATTTTATCTCCTCAATCTTTTACCATTTTAACTCTTGGATGCTGTGATTTGGTGAGCATCTTATTAAATACAAAATAAAAAGTTCTCTCTGTTAAGTAGATAGGTGGTAAAAAAACAGTTAATACAAATAAGCCTTCTTTAAATTATCCTTCAGTGAATGGCTATGCTTTTTGCATTATTACTGTATATAATAAAAGGGAATACAAGGATTTCTTAATTAAACTATATATTAAGATGTGTACATTTACAATGCAACTGCATCATATTTAGCAGAAAAATAAAACATTTTCTCATTCAAAAGAAAAAGATAATATTTTTCTCCTGGAATCAAAATAGTTAGTAGGATTTTTAGGAGGAAAAGGTCTGTCATTATTCAGCGCTTTGAAAAAGAACTGCCAATCTTTTAAACAGAGCCTGTTTGAAGACAGGAAGTAGGAGCAATAAAAAGCAACGGATCATGCCCTAATCGAAAGGTCTAAAGAAACAGAGATGAAAAAGTCTTTGACATCCATCACCATGGAAACTGTTACACAGCTACTTTTATGGTTTACTGACTCCATAAAACCACAGAGGGATCATCCACCTATGGAGAGAACAGCAGAACAGTAGTAAACCTACCAGGAGGAGGCAGCCCACTAAGTGTTTCACATGGGTTGTATGATCAGTAACTTTTCCAGAGGCTTATTTCAGAAATTCGAGGATTAAAGATAAAGCCAGGCTTACAGGAGCGTGATGAGTGCATCCTGGCTTCATTCGTATTACAAAGGCCAAGCCAGATTCAATAGGTGCTGCTGTGTAAGCCAGGACTAAGTAATCAAGCTAAATGCAAATGTACAGTTTTCTTAAATAGACCAGGAGGTCGATCACAGATTCACAGATTTGGCAAACGAAAACAGATCTTTGAAATGCCTACATAGTTTAAATTAAACTTTTCCTATCCACTTCCCTTATCTGAAAACATCATAATTAGTAAGGAGTTATTGGTCATTTTTTCCCCCCAAATGAACATCTGTTCTCTTAGAAAGTGACAGTGGAATATATTGCTCTGTGTAAAGGTTAAAGTCTTAGGATGTGGGGATTAAATTCCAGGTACATCATGAAAGGCATCTGGCATTAAAAGCTTAGTCAAGCAGGAGATTTATTACATATTTTATTCCATGTCCTGTTCATATTCATACATAACTAATATGACTTGACCAAAAAGGAAATACAAGCAAAGTTCGTATGCTGTTTGCATCTGGATAAAATGTCTTCATGTGATCCAGAGGGACGTCAGATCATAATGCGCGTGCGCTGCAACAAACCAATGGCATTAGGGAATCCTGTAACCTAGCTCACCTCTTCTAAAGTTTCTGCACTTGTAAAATATTGCAAAATCCCTCCATGTTTGTGCAAAATAAATCACCATGGCAACTTATGTGCTGCTGCTTCTGTAATCAGAAAAGATCCCAGCTTAATCTCTCATCTTGATTTTGTGAAATAGGCCTCTGGTTTTGGCAAAACTACTACGCAAAACATGGAAAGGACTTTGGGCAGGGAGTTATGAAAAAGGTGATTTGCTTCAGATTCATTTTCAGACAAAATTGAATCAAATAACTTAAACAACAGCTTGATAATACACCAGAAATCAGAGGATACCTAACAGGGTACTCATTTTAAGTTTAACTAAACCAACAGTACCAGTATAGTAAAAACTATTGAGAGAGAGAGAGAGAGAGAGAATACCACTCACTGCAGCAGTTACACAGACAGAGCATTAAAGTACAGTACAGCACTAAGCAAATGTTAGATGTTCAAATTGTGCCCAAAGCAAGCAGGTGGAGTGAGACCCATGTTTGCAACAGCACATAATGTTAAATGATCTTTTAATTCTGCCCTGATGAAGGTAACAGTTACCTTGTTACAGAGCTGGGTGATTAAACGCTAAAATGGATTAACCACATTTTCTGTTTATGAAGATTTTTTTTTTAAATCTGTTTTTTTCCCCCCACCAATCACTTTCTTGGGCTTCCATAGAGTCACATAATCTCATCAGTTTTGTTTTTAAATGTATATTGATAACTGATAAACTAGCTGACAGTGTAACATCACCAGTGATGGGAGTAACGGCGTTGAAAGTAACAGCGTTACTAACGCTGTCGCGCAGGCGACAGGAAACGCGCATGCTAGCTAAAGGCAACGTGCCTTTAGCTAGCATGCGCGTTTCCATCAGATAACGTTCCCCCTATGTTAAGCAGGGGGAACACTATCTGACAGGGTTTATAGGCCCGTCAGATAGCGTTTCCCCCTGATGTCATTTACGTTGAGTTGAAATAAATCCAAACTCTCTGCAGGTACTTGTCTTTGTCATCCACTCTATTCAGCTGGCTTTTGAAACACGGCGAGAAGATGGGGGCCGGGTGGTGAGGGTTGCGGGGGCGAGAAACGCCAAAGTAACGCAATAGTTACTTTTACTAGTAACTAGTTACTTTTATTGTGGAGTAACTCAGTTACTTTTTGGGAGAAGTAACTAGTAACTATAACTAATTACTTTTTCAAAGTAACGTACCTAACACTGAACATCACTAGCTGCAATAATTTAGTTTGTTATAATTTCATTGTTAGATGAGAAACATTTTTTTAACCAGCATTTTGCCCTTTAAATTAAGGTCACATCACAGAGAAGATGGTTCAAATAAAAGCTACGTTTTAAAATAATGTCGGTCATTGCTATTATGGTACTTAAGAGAGGAAAAAAAAAACCTTAATTGGATTTTGTAAGAAATAAATCAAAGATAACATGTTAAGGTTAAATTGCCCAGCCCTACCTTGCATTAAAGATTGCATTGAGTCAGTGTGCGTGATTCAACGCGAGGAGAAAACCAGACTGAAACCATCCGAGTTTCAAAGCAGACACCATTTCAAGTTATCTAGTCAGCTTTTCTTCTGCTGGGCTTTTTATGGTTTAACCAGCTGGCTTTATTGCAATTCTTTTTTAACAGAAGATAAAAGTCAGTTTGCAAAGCTTTCACTGGACGACCATCCGCCTTACACCCACCTGCAGGCTACACTGTGAGTGAAATAACTGTTAAGAAGAATGCATTGTAAATGTAAGTCCATTTATGTTAATAAATGTAAGACCTGTATGGGTTCCTTGTTTTCAACTCATACATCACATCTGATGTTTCACCTGTGAGAATACAACTTACATTACAACTCAGCAGCAGTAAAAGAACAAATCACAGATTTACAAGTCTGAATCTACAACCCCGGATGAAGCGGTTACACCCCCAGTTGGAACTGGTAATGAACATAAAATGCTTAAAAAATAAACCAAACCAACAACATATTAACAAAGACTTAAAGTCTGATTGATGGTTTTGTTTTGCTTGTCTTCTAGTCTAATAACAGGTTTGCAAACAACCATCAGGTGCGTTACCACCAACAATGGGTAAAAAATGTAAAACTTCTTCAGGGTTTATGGGTTCATATTCATAAATTTGCTGTTCTTATTCTTGCAGATTAAACAAATCCATCTGATGTCACATGTCTGTATGAGTTATCAACCAAGGAACATACAAATCTTAAATGTATCAACGTTAATGTACCTTTTTTTTTTTTAAGAGACTTTTTTTAATGTCTGAGTGAATGCAGTTGTGGACCTGTCTTGGCACTCCTCCTTCTGGTGTCTCTCTAGGCTGGAGCGGGGGAACTGCTTTAGGCAAAAGGTGCATTCTGTCGGCAGCTCGCTGACAGCTTTCTCCACTGCAAGATTCCTACAGCACAAGTTCTTGCTTATCTCACACCTACATGGACACAGGAAACAATGATTCATACGTCAATGCAGAGGCATAAATAATATTTGTGGATTCGGCAGTATGGTAATACAAGTTTGTAAACACTGCAGAGAAAGTATCTCACTGTAAGTAAGAAAAGACGGATTCTGACTTGAGCACAAACTCTAAACAATTAAGTTATTTTTATGTGTGTAGATACTATTCATATATGTAGATTATATTGTAGGAAAAAAAAATGCTTTAAATGACAGAAAAACAAAAATCCAAAAAGAAATGATCTCTTGGATTTGGAAAGCTCTTTATTTTTTAAACATTTACAAATAAATAAAGAAGCTTAAGGTCTTTTGGTAGTTCAGGAATATTATTCAGTTGCACTTCATTGGATCTTAAAGATTCACAAAGGATTCGTATGAGCTGCTACATTAAAGGATTTGCCCACAATGTTTCTGTAAAACTAAGATCAGTACATTAATTTGACAGTTAGTAAAAATGTTATCCATTGTTAAAAATCCCCAAATAAGGCCTAACCAAGACTATATTTAATATTTTGATTTGCTTATTCGCTGCAGATCTCTTTTCATACAATTATTGGATCTCAAAAAGTTATCCCAGAAGGGTCAAACCAAGAACTAATTTCAGGTTTTACAACTTTCGTTTTGCACTCACTGTATCTTAACATCCATTTGTGTCCTTTAATGTTTGATAAATAAGCAGAGAAAGATTTTTTTTTATGCTAAACGACAGAAGCTCAGATTTTTTTTTCTCTGCACTTCACGTTTTAATCAATTAAGAATAAATCTTTAGAAATGTGCGAATGCCATATATCATCTTGATTTGAATTATCTGCATTAGTAAACTTGATGATAACACTGATTATATCAAGAATCACCAAGATTGACCTGCAGCTTTTAGATTATATTTACTAGAGTTCTATATAAATATTTTTTTCTTATAATAAACAAGGAATGACTCGGGTACAAACTGATGCCAGTAAATTTAATTATTACATTTTTCTGGTGCTTCTGACAAGCCCAGAAGAAAAAAAAAAAAATCAGGTAGGAAACGACTAAAAATATAAAAGTACAAAATGGGGAAAAAGTCAGAAGGGAATCTTTATCAAAATAAAATAATCAACATTACATAAGAGAAGGTCTGTAGTTAACCAGAAACCGTCTATATAATTGCATGCAACTGACCAAACAGTACTATTTATAAAATTGATCTTTATATGTTTACGTGCACTGGGAGGAAATTGGCATGAATTTAACAATAAAAAAGTAAATTCATGAACAAAATAATGATATAAAATCCCAGTAATTTAAAAGGCGTTTCTCTGAATCTTAATGTGTCCACAGTAAAGCTGGTTTACCTGCAGTTGGGACACGTGGCCTGTTCCTCCTTGAGACGAGAATCAGCCAAGAGGTGAATAAAACAGCCAGCACACATCAGGTGTCCATTGGTACACTTTGGCACAAAGACAGAATGGATAAAGGGCATCATGATAGGCTCTACAGAGGAAGCCAAAAAAAACTTCCAAAAATCAGGGAGGACATTTTTCACAAGTTGTGAGCAGTTTGCTACGGTCCCGTTTCAAAAAATTACTACTTATTTCATTGATGCATTTTTTTTTTTAGTAGACATTAAGGAGAGATAACTCTTCAGGGCATGGCATGAGTAATGCATGCAAACCTATTTTTAATCAGTTTCTGGTCTTAGTAGATTATTTTACAACATTTGTTACATGAAAGCCACCTATTGCCATTTGCTGTTACAATGCAAATGCATTCATGCAAATGCATGAATTAAAATGCAAACCAACATTTTTTTTAGAAACTTAAAAGATCAAGGAATTTTACATAACACTGGATAGTGTAATGAGCTTATATCTGCATATATATCTATATATATATATATATATGAGGACATCCTTTGATTAACTACATAAAGTTTAATAAAAAAAACATGAACCTATGACAATCTATAATAAATAGGTCTATTTCAAATATCACTATTTGTTATTATTTTGTACTAACGTTTTACCTATATATATATATATATATATATATATATATATGGACATCTGAAATCAATATGAACATATTGATAAGTGGAGATTAATCAATTCACTATTAATAGTTAGAAATTGGAAACATTTCTTTTGATTAGGTAAGTACTTGCTTTGTTTAAAAAAAAATCAATATTTATAACTCCTAACCAACTCTATGTACAAGTGAGGGGACTAAAAGTATGCACTTGATGCATGTTTGTTGATTGTTAATAAAAGTAGGTTTAATAAAGGATTAATTTGCAAGATAAATATAAGGAAAAGTGTCACATTGTGCTTCTGTAGATGTAAGGTTAACTAAGATCAGAACAAAGTCTGAAGTCTGGTATCATGACATTGAATACCAAAACTTGAGGTCAATAAATGACAAAGTGAAAGCAAAGAAATTAAGGAGGCCAAGTTATTAGAATGGGGATGGGGATGTTGCATTTTTCTGTGGATCTAAGAAAAAAAAAGGGATTTAACCCAAAACGTTAGAAAAAAAGAACTGTCTTTACTCTGAATCATGTTTGGCATCTCCACTATGGGCACTTTTTTAGACCAGGAATCTGTAACAATAACTGGATGGGTCCATACATTCAACAGGTTGAATTATAGGTTTGGACACCGTGAGGGGGATTCTATTGTGTTTTTCAGTTGATTTATTGATGCTTGACATTAAGTTAAGAAGTGTGTTTTTTTTTAATGCGATTGTCACCACCTTTACCTGATAAACAGACGCCTTGGGTAAGTCAAGGCACACGGTGCAGCACAGCACTGAGTACAGTCTCTCCTCCAGCTTCCCTGACTCCCCTTCGGGTATTTTCACCCTCTTTTTGGGCGGCTCGTCCGGGTCAGGCTCGGGCCCCTCTCTCCGTATACCGACATCCTCCTGCATGGCCGCGACCCCGGCGACAGCCTCTCCCGCTGCCCCCACGGCCCCGACCCCCAGGCCGGCCGAGGAGGAGCCAGGGGCGACCGCAACGCCCACGTCCCTTTCTTCCAGGGAAGACATAGTGTTGGCCGCCTGGAAAAACAAAACTACCAGATATGTACCTGCCCCGACCAGGCTGGGCCCGAAAGAAAACAAAATATGGAGGTTAGCTCAGGTTAGCTTACGACCTGTCGAGCTAACGTGAGCTAGGCTAACACGTCAGTTAACACAGCCCTGAGCACAGGAAGGTGATGTTTAACAAGCCAACTCTTACGGGAGAAAACGAGAACATGAGCCAAATTTTATAGCAACTACCAAGTTAATCAGATTTTTGACTAGTTCAGATAACTTACAGCGAGTCTAGCAGTCCCCTTTTCCAGAGCCCAGGCTGAACAAAAACAACTCGGCCTCACTCAGCTGTCCGTTATTCGCAGCGACAGCAGGTAACGACGGTCACTGCCAGCGGCCCTGCTCCGCTGTTCTCCCCGCGTCCCTGCCTGCTGCTGCGGGTACCGGCTAAGCTCTCGGGCTGTCTATCCACCGGACCACACACAGAACCTATCGATGACCACTGCTTGAGAGAGAGTTCTGTTAGGACTTGTCTCCCTGGCTACACAGCCATCTTTGTTTTGTTTTTGTGGGTTGTTTTTTTTCTGTCCGTTTCCTGACTTGACCGTGTTTTTTCTCTTTTCTCTTTCAGGAAGGTACTAAATTGAAAGCCTGGGACACATGCCGAGCATTTAAAGGTAAATGTAAAGCGCCTGCATCCGCAGGGATGGGGGCCTCTACGCTACACTCGCAAATTGGCTGACAGAGGAATGTTTTGTTGTGGCAGATGACTTGGGTATTTAAAGAGTTTGAGACGCGCATGCGCACTGAGCATCTTTCCCAGGGCTTTAAAATCGACCAAAACCTGAAAAGCCACAAAGTTGAGCTTCATCTCCATAGGATTTAAATACTTTCTGACTTATGAAGCTAGAAAAATAAAATACTATTAATGTACTATTTTCTTGTTTAAAAATGTATTTATTTCAATCAAAAAAAGTTTTGTCTAATTTTATCTGGACCTAGGGCAGATATACATTATATTTCTTAACAAACATCTCAATTTCAGTAAATAGCTGCTTTTAAATAAAAGTAATAAAGTATTTGAATATTTTGATCATGTTACAATAGCATATATATATTTTTTTCTGATTACATCTGGAACAGTTGGAAAGTTAAGAAAAGTTAAAGTATTTTTTGAGAGTTGCTTTTATGTTACAGGTTGAATGAAGAATGTTTTTTGGTAGTATGACTTGAGTTATTCACCTTACCTTTGATCAGTAGTTTAAATGTAATCAAAACCTAATAAGCTGCCAAAATGCCTCTGCTAGAATGAGAAGTGTTGCACAGCAATGAAATTTAGTTGGTTAAGTTTCCTCTTAAATTTAGAGTAAACTTCTTTTTAGTTTGTTTTTAATGCCACCTCTACTTCACTACATCTTATGATTTAAATGAAGATTTCAGTGAACAAAATTGTCAGCAGATAAACTAATATCAAAAGATGAATGCTCTTATTATTGCAGTCTTTAAGATATAGACTGATGTACTGTTAGTTTAATAAAATACTGTTGTAGGATTAAATAAAAAAGCTTTATTCGCATTTTTAATTAGTCTAAAATTATTCATTTCAGTTAACTAGTATGTAAATCTAAAAAAACATCGTTTTACATTTTCCCACAAGTTACAAAGGAAAGTTTTAATTTATCACAAAAAAATATATCAATCTCATATCTTAAATGAACCTGATGATTTCTGTGAAACAGTGTTTACAAAGCAATAAACAGACTGAGAGCAAATGTAATCATAATTTATTGCAAATTACACTACCAAGGTCTGTTGATGACACACCTCAGTGCACATTTCTTAAAAAGGCTCTAACATTTGCAATGTATGCAATTTATTGTAAAAAAAAACAAAAAAAAAAACAATTGCTTTTGTTTATTATTCACAGGGATGAGATGTCTGCAACTAGCTTAACAGATTCAGTCTTCTACTATATAATTTCAAACACCAGTTTAACTACTTATTGCTAAAACAGTTATATACTTATCACTGTGCTTGATCTTGCTTAGACTATTAAACAGCTCATTTAAATGCATCTGAAAAGATTAGTTATTTAGTTTTTATCTAAACAAGTACACAAAACCCCTTACTTTCAACTATTTTAATTTCAAATCTGTATATATGTACTGTTAATGTGCATTTCAGGCTAAATCTCTCAATGTCAGCAGACTATCCGCTAATAAAAAATGTATACATTATATTCAGTTATTACAGTTCTTTACAAACAATAGCGTATATGTTTCAGAAAACACTGTTTTTAGATAAAGTGAATACTAATCAAGTTATATTTAATTAGTGGGGAAAAACTTCTAAAAACTTTTCTCAAATTAGCACTTTTATTGCTACCATTTGGCAGTAACTGTGGTTGTGACTCATTCAGAAAACAGGAACTGGTCCAAACTGTAAAAAACTAATAAATCTTTAGAGAGAATATAGGGGCTGAGTTTCCCTTTTAGAGGAGCAGCTAACATCTCTGTAGACCCCCCTAAATCCTGGACGCAGACTGGTCAGACTTTTTTTCATGTCAGCACTACAACTTGTATTTATGTATGAAAGAAATTATTTACATACGGTACTATATCTTTCATTCTACATATGGGGGAGTGGCAGCCTAGTGGTTAGGGTATAGAGCTTGGAATCTTGAGGTTGTGAGCTTGAAACCCACTGCCACTCTGGGTGTCTGAGTAAGACCCTTAACCCCTGATTGCTCCCCGGCAGCCCACGATGGCAGCCCACTGCTCCCCAAGGGGATGGTTTAAATGCAGAGGTCTATTTCTCCAATGTAAAATCAATAAAGTTTAATTATTAAATACTTCCTCTTAAGTTTTTATAATTCTTCCTAAAGGTCTGCACATTTAAATGCATCAGTTCTCTGGTTTGTGCACACAATCTTAGCCAATGAAGCTTATCTCTACTGTGTTTTTTTCTTATTATGACTGCATATGTGATAGAAAAAAAAAACATTGCGAGTGTATGACAGTGATGAGGCTAGTGAGGGATTGCTTTCAACAAGCTGCTAAACATACAACCAAATCAGATTTCTAATGTTTCAGTGTGTGGATTGCACATTTGAAGGGCTTATAACAGTCTTTTAAACTGGTTTGACTAACTTTAAGGAATTCTGTGCATGCATGGTTTGATGATGCATGAAAGATCTAACTAGAAAAGCAGGATAGCACTGATACTTGGCATACTATAGGCATTGAAAAGCTTTATCATTCACTACCAATGTCCCTTACATAGTCTATATATGGTACCGAAACCACAAAGACTCCGGAAGTCTAATGGCCTGGGTATGAGGGGGGTTGTGAAAGTGCTTTTGGCTGGGTGGGGCAGGATGTCAGAATGTCAGCTGTCTGCAGTCGGAGGGACAGGATTAACCAGTCCTCATTGGATAGAGAGATATGCCCTATTTGGTCTGTGTGGAATGGCAGGAGAGCAATACCCCCCCTAGGTATGCAACCCAGTGGCTCAATGTGTTCAGAGCCTGTTCCAACAGTCAGCGTTGTTTACAATATCTTACTACACATTTAGTTTAACATTACCAGTGTAATTTGGACAAAGTCAAACCAGTAGTACTTTAATGTCACGACATAAAAAACAAACCCTTGGTAAAGGACGCTTTAGTAGAATTTATGTTTTCAATTTAGAAGTAATAATCCTAAAATAAAGCGCTTTTAAAATAACATCTATTAGGTTGCACTTTTATGTCTCTATAAATGTAAAATATGTAAGAATAATACTTGAAAATGTTATCACAACACAAGTTAACATGCTTCATGTTTACGGACTAAATTTGCAAGTTTGGACAGAGACTCAGCCGTTAAACAACATCCCATGATTAATTCCTAAACGGAGAACAAATGGTATAAACATTGATCTCATCAATCAGACTTTATTCATTCGTCCAAAGCTTCAACTGTGAAAATAAAATCAAGGCTATTGTTTGTAACAAAGAAAGATTGTCCTGATCTAATCACACAATCAAACAGATAGAAATCCCGCTCATGACAGGGCTTGAATGTTTAGACCATTGGCCTTATTGTGCTTTAGAGTCGTCTGTTTGTGGTGACTCAGTGTCGTTTAATGTGAGGTGTAGAGCTGCTGGATAGCCAAACACTTAGCCTCTGGTCTTGGTGATGGAGTATGATGCTGTTGGCAGTTTACCATTCCTGGTGTTTGGTTAGAGATCCTGAATCTGTTGGTTTACTGTTCTCTGTTCTGTTTGGACTGCAGTTTAATCTGGGATGAAGGCTTGTTTTCAGTTGTGGAGGAGTCGCTGCTCTGCCTTTCTGCTGCTCTGCAGAGACTGTTTCTGGTTTCTCTTGACGACGTGTATCAGCTAAAGGTGTTTGCTCTCTCTTCTTGGAAGCTTCAATGTCTATGCAGCTGTTGTCTTCATATTGAACCAGTGGATTTGTGTTCTGATCTTGGCCTCTTTTTGTAAATTCATTATGTCTCTTGAAGGTTATTTCCGTCTCAGTGCCAGGGTGTCCGGCTGTTTGGTTTGTCAGTGATTGTGCAGTGTTTGCTGGAGTTTGTCTCTCCACTCCCTGCATTACTTTTTTATAAGCTACTCGATTTCCTTTAGTTTTGCCAGAGAGTGCCCTCTGGCTGCAGGCTGAAGCCATAGTCTTCACCCAGTGGTGCTGTAGGGTCTGCTCTGCTGTCAGCCTTAATGTGGGATCGGGTGTGAGCAGAGATCTGACAAGACCTGTGGCATCTGTTTGTCCACAAAGAAAAAATTAAAATATCGAATTGTGTAATGATATTTGCTGCACAGTGTTAAACAGTGTAAAGTTTTAAAGCTAATATAAAAATGACTCCCCCCCCCCCCCCCCCCAGTGAGTCACATTGTCTTGTGAGTTCTTAAAATGTATCAGTTATTTATATTTTATAAAGATGTCTCAATTATGTTTTTGTTTTTAACTTTTTCTGCTTTTTAATATTTTTTTATTTTGTTAAATCGTTGTTCTCACCTGGTCATATAACCTGTTTAAAAATGGATGCAAATAGTACAAGCCCAAGTTAGTAGATTAGTATCTACATATAATTTAAAAGGCATTGTATTCAAACAGTTAAAACATACCAAAATAAAGCTCATCATTCTTTGTTTGGAAAAATGGTACGCTTCATTATTATAAATGACCCCCTGAGAAAAATATTCTGTTGAAATAAAAAGTCACCAGAAAAATTTTTAATTACTCATATGGTAAGTTTTCATTGACTAGTACTTCCAATCATCTTGATGGTGTAAAAATACAATTATCTTTCTGTCAAACTGGGTTTTTATGCTTTTTACATAAATTAATGTAATTAATTATTACATAAAATTAATATATATAGCTGCTTGTAATAATATGCCAAATAATCCAAGTAATCTGTTGCTAAGTAATCTGTTGTTTGTAGACAAAAGACTTGGTCCGTTCTTTGAGTTTAAAGAGCTGAGCATTCCTCTGAAAATTATCAGGTACTTGATGCTACAAGTGAGGAACTAAATAAAAGTGAAGCAGTTTAAATATGAGGATAAACTCTTAAATTCTCAGAAACCATGGATAAATTGTGATAAAGATTACTTTGCAATACCACAAATATAGCAGAATGTATAGAAATTAGGTTGGACTTATAAATATTTACAATTCCAGCGGTTTGATTCTTAATCACTTAAAAAAAAAAGGTACGCCCTCTCGCAATTCTAAGGTTTAATCAACTAGGTGATCTGGTCTTTACTATTTTCTAAAATCAATGAATTCAGAATTAAATAAAAAACACAGCTTCAATTACATTATGTATAAATAAAATAAAAACATCGACACTGATTGTTCATTTTTACCATGAGAAAATTCAAGTCTGATTTACCTTCTGAGATAGAGTCCCAGTAGGGCGAAGGGAATTGAAGCTCTGCCTGTTTTATAAGGTTAAAGAGCTCCTCTTGATCCCGATCCCGGCTGCGAAATGGGGCAAAGCCACACAGCAGGATATAGAGAATCACCCCCAGAGCCCAAACATCCACTGTTAATCCATACCCTACAGGATGACCATGAAGAGCTTTAAAATGACCAGACTCGCATTCAAGTGTAGAAAAGTGTTTAAAGAAGCTCACCTGTCTCACAGAGGATCTCTGGGGCCACATATGTTGGTGTTCCACAAATGGTGAAGACTGGTTCTGTTACCACCATTGCCAGGCCAAAGTCTGCCAACTTCAGCCGATCCATGCCAGCAGTTACTTTCTCTATCTGAGAGACAATTCAGTTTCAATTCAATTCAGTTTATTTATATAGCGCCAGTTCACAACACGTCATCTCAAGGCACTTTACAGTTCAACCAGATCATACAGTCAAATTGATTCAAAGTTTTCTATCTAAAGAAAACCAGTTGATTGCATCGACTCATTGACTCGAATGCAATCCCTCACACTAAGCATGCTTGTAGCGACAGTGGAGAGGAAAAAAACCCTTTTAACAGGAAGAAATCTCCAGCAGAACCAGGCGAATAAGAACGGAAACTAGATAGCAAGACCAGGCTGGGTGGGATTAACAAAAGGAGAGCTTTGATCGTCATCTTTTTGTGTCTGAGGACAGAATAATACAACTTCCTGCTTTAACTCATGGTCCTACAGATTTACAGTGCTATGCAAAAGTAATAATGTGGATAAGAGATGAAAAATTTTCGGAAAAATTCACATGGTTTGTAGATTTAGAACAAAAAGAATTTCTAAACAGTACTTTTAATATGTATTTGGATGTTACATAGATATCAAAAAAGAGCCTTTCTTCATGTGTGTCGTTTAGAATCTGGCTGTCATAAATGAAGAAGTGGAAAAGGTTGAAGTGTTATGACGTTTTAAAACACCAACCATGACTGATGGAGCTCCACTAATCCATTATCAGAACGTGTAAACAGTATTAGACATCTACAAATCTACAAAGATGTGACTATGCACCTAGACTGGAGAAAAAGGAAAAAGGTATTCATGGGAAAAACATTCAAGACATAGATAATAATTCTGGAGGAGCTACTCTGCTCAGGTGGGAGAATATCTTAACAGGAAAGTTATTACCTTTGTTCCCCCAAAAATTTGTTCTATATGGACAAATAAAAAAAGCCATAGTTGAAAGAAAGACATTATATGTCCGGGTTGGAGCGTGCTATAACTCATTGAGCCAAAATATGAGCTTTTTGGCATAAATGGGAAAAAGGAATGTGTCCCAGAAACCATCCCACATCACCCTGAATAGATAATACACAAAATGAAACATGGTGGTGGAAGCATTATGATATGGGCCTGCTTTTCTTAAAGCAATGCTGCCTAACTTTTGACCCAAGTATTAGCTTAATTCAGAGGTCTTAAATATAAAAATATTAAGTAGAAAATTTGACTATCTATACTTTACTGGAGTAATTACTTTTTAGACAAATTTTTACTTCTACTCCTTTTTTTACATTTTTTTTTTCTTTTTTACAAATATCTCTACTTTCTATTCCTTACTTTGTGAAAATAGATTCATATTTTTTTTTTTCATTTAAGCTAATTTTCTTATGGCCTGTTGGTTTAAAATAAAAAAACAACATCAAAATAATGTGTTTCTTCCTGACAATTAATTTCTTTTGGTTGTACTGCTCCAACATACCAAAAGAAAATTGTTTTTCAAGATGATGCAAAGTTAACTTTTAGTTAGTTATAAAACTAAGAAAAATACAGTAAGTATAAGTTATCGTCCAGAATTGTAGAAAATTGTTGCTTCAATAGATTGGTTTAGTAACAAGTATAAAGTTTAATGCATCTGTCCTTAACAGTTTTCCCTGCATTACTTTTACTTTTATACTTTAAGAAGTTTTAAAAATGTTACTTATACATTTTTACTTGAATAAAAGGTTACAGGTCTAGTGCCCCCAGAGGCTAAAAGTTTCAAATGTTGCCTGAAAAGCTAAAATCTGCATTGCACTTAAATCCTTAGGTTTTTCTATCCAATGAATTTACATTAAAAGTCAGTAAATTGTGTCTGTGTGTAATGGAGACATTTCAAAAAGCCTCTGCAAGATACTGTATGCCTAAAATATCTCACTGCAACTTTCTTATAACATATCTGCTTTGATACTAACCAATAAATTCTCAGGTTTTAGGTCCCTGTGGACGATGCTCCTGCAGTGGATGTAGCTTAGCGCTTCGCTCACATCCAAAACCATCAGTCCAGCCTCAGCCTCTGAAAACTTCCCTCTGTCAGTGATGGCCTCGAACAGATCTCCTCCGCTCACCAGCTCCATCACCAGGTAGGAGTGCGTACGGGTATGGTGGTGGGCCAGCAGCCTCACTATACGGGGGTGTCTCAGACTACCTAGGAGGCTGAGCTCATTCTGCATCATGTGCTCCCGACCAATCAGCTTGGAGCGTTCCACAATCTTCAGGGCAACAGGTTGGCCGTCGTCACGACGCCGGCACTCCCGTACAACAGCGAAGTTCCCATCTCCAACCAGACGTCCGATTTCATAGCAGCGCTCAATGTCGGACAAGGTGAGATCCCTGTCATCTGGGAGGATGTAGGTGTCTGTGACTGGGGGTTCTGTGTGTACTGAAGGAGCTGGAGCTAAAGGCTGTGATGGTACAGAGCTCTGCTCCTTGTCAGTGCTGACTGGAGGAGGTGGGGGGGACTTACAAACATCTGACTGTTTCGCCTCTTTCTGTTTCTTTGACACAGGCGGAAGAGGAGCCCATCCTGATAGAGTGCTAATCAGTCCTGGAGCCAGAGGTTTTGATTTTGTCACTAAGCAGCTTTCACACAATATAGGAGATGGTATATTTGTGTCTTTCAAAACTTCATTATGTTTTAATGGACCAATAATAGAAAGCTTTCTCTCTTTGAGTCCTCCCCTAACACGTAATTTCTGCAGGTTGTTGGGAAGCTGAACAGGTTTGTTGCAGGAATTCTTCTTATTAGAATTCTGGGGGTCAGGAATATAGCGTCCTTTCTGGTGTTTGTGTAGATGTTGAGATGCTTGGGCATTATGAGTGTCTGGCAGTGTCTCTTTCTCTAAATTCCCAGTGTTTTCTGTCTCCTCGCTGTATCCGCTGTCTGCTTTGGCAGCTTTATCTGGGGCTGGCCGGAGTTTCTTCTCCCAGACCCGCAGAGCATCTGCACGGTAATGGGAGGCTTCTGGGAAAAGTTCCTCAAGAGCGTTCTGCACACTGTGCAACTCAGGGCGGGTCTTACCGAGAGCCAAGAAAGCCACCTCCCCACAGAAGAAATCACACACTCCCTTTACCTACAAAAAAGATTAAAAAAGAAGAGAAAAAAAACATGTTATCTGGACAGAACCATACAAATCTATACCAGAAATCTGAGAGCAGGCTGCTGAAAAGGATGGCTCTTGCATTACATTTGGAGAGCTGATTTAATTGAAGATGTTTTCTGCCAGATAAAGCATTTAAACACTAACTGAGTCAAACCAAGGTGATCAAGATCACAAAAATGTCACAAGAAGATAAATAACTAATCTGAAACACAAAGGTTTAACATGTCTTGGGCCTATTTTTTAGGGAAAAATAAATTGCAGAGCTCAGTTAGTATTTTTCTTTTTAGATATACCCCTTGTTTTATGAACCCAGTCATGGTCTGCCTCACCTCTCGAGCATGTGTTGTGAACAGACGTGTCACTCTTCCCCTGTGCCATTGTGGAAACCCCAATGCTTCGGAGATATCCAGGAGCAGCTGCTCAAAGGACACCACCGCCCTCCTGTTCAGCAGCACAGTCACCTCATAAACAGCAGGGAGAACATTAGCTATTATTAATACACAAACTAATTACTTGTTAAGACATTTGGATTCTGTCCAGTCTGCTTGAGATTATTTGTATCAGAACAGAAAATGTAATTAAAAAAACATCTTTTTTTTTCTATAATCTTTTTGCTGCTGTAAACACCATAATTTCTCCATTGTGGGCCAATAAATGGACTGTCTATTCTATTCTATTCTATTCTATTCTAACTTTCCACTAAATATATAATATCTGATAATAAAAAGCAGTCATGGAGGTTGACAGTAAAACTGCAGCATCTGAAGGAACTTTTAACTTTATGGCTTGTGTTTTATACAACAGTCTTCTGTATTAGGCTGTGAGTAACAAACTCTATTCTTAAAAATAATAAATAAATATGTGATTAAAATCTCCCAAAGCCTTGTGGGAAAAAATAAAAAGGAACCCATCCATCTATCCATTTTCTGTCACGCTTATCCCAAGCAGGGTTGCTGGTGCCTATCTCCAGCTATCTACAGGCGAAAGGCGGGGTCAACAGTCCATCACAGATGGAAAGGAACCAAACAGTTTGTTTTTTTTGTTGTTTTTTTATCTCACAGTTTAAAAAAGCAAAGCTGGCAGGAGCACAGAACTTTACCAAAACAACAGCATAAACACTGTTATTACATATGGTCATTTCATCAAGACGCATGAGATTATGAGCAGTTTCAGATAGGGGTGTCCTGATACAATGTTTTCCTTTCTGATACGATGCTGATAGTGGAGCTTTGAGAATTAGCCGATACCGATATTGACCTGAAATTTCAACATGAATCATAACGGATTTTGTTACTTATTTATACTGCAGAAAGTAATATCACTAAAACAGGGAACAAAAGTTAATAACAAAAGGTAGGAAAATACCTGACCCAAGTAAAATTAACCAATGAGTTAAAAGAACTTTTAACAATAGTAGAGGGTTTCTATCAGCATGAAAATATAAAATCCGATATCAGTTTTTTGGAAAATATCAGACTGTTATTTATAATGGATCAGGACATACCCATGCCTTTTAAGCGTTATGGATTTTTCTTCACCTTCATAGTGATTTTCAAATCTTAAAAAAAAGTTTTTGAAAGGCTAAGACTTCTACCAAAAAAGACTGAATGCAAAAATTGACATAAAATAGTGTTTTGTTTTCTTTTATCAATTCAACAATGTGCATACTTGTGCAACCAGGCAATTGAACCTTTTTTTTTCTCTTAATAATTTCCCCCTAAATATTTGTTTATCATGACGGTTGTACATGATATATATGTAAAGACAAGTTTTAAAATAGTCAAAAAATTTTATTTTAACAGGATTTTGTAAAGTTTGGAAAGTCGTTTTACACATTAGATGTCCTGCAAAGATAGATGTCAATGATAAAAACAAACCTTAAACCACTCACACACAGCAGTCAACAGGTTTGCACCTTTTAGAGAAAATATGTGGTTGTTCTTGATAAAACACCAAATTTTGCCTTAAATTTTCAGGGATCAAGCTTTCATGTAAAGAACTGAATTTCCATGCTCAAAATTCTCCATAATAATGTAAAGATATGAACAAACCTACTGGAATGTCTACATGTACAACACCATAAACACTCAAAAGCGAACAGATTTTTTTTTTTTTTGTGGTTGCTGGCTTAAAACATTTTTTGTATTTAGTTGTGGTCATTTATATTCTGTCATTAAAAAGCCTTACGTAGTAAACTCATTAAACTGTGGTGAGAAAGAAAACATGTAACCAAATGAAACATTAATAGAAATCACGGATATTTTTTTTTTTCTTTACCTTCCGTAGTCCACTTTGACCACATGGCCGTACAATAGTGACCAAGTGAGGCCTCTCGGCACTTTCCTCTGCATGCCGTGTGTGGAAGAGTGGGACATGAGAGGAGAGGAGGTGGGACCTGTGTAGCCGCTCCACCTGCTGTGGGTGTAAGGGCCAAGGCTGAGATGCTCCACCAGGACGCTTCAACAAGGAGACAGGGGGGCCTTAAACAGAATGGAAAAGGATACACATTTTAGAATAGTAAATGTTTACTAAATGAGTGTAAACTCAGTTTTTTCCTTCCGTTTTAGATGTATAAACATAGAAAAAAAACCTCAGAAGTAACATAACACCTGATCCTTATCCTGTGTGTGAAAGCAAATCCGACTGGTCAGATTTGAACGTTTTCCATCACATGGAGAGCAGGGGCCATTTGAGATTCTTCAATCAGCATGCTGCACTGGTTGAATTATTTAGGCTTCCTTAAGTCTCACACACACACACACACCTATCACAAATACACACTCACAAACATGCAGGACAAAAGTTTGCTTGGCCTGATTAGGGCTCAGCTAGATTAACTTGATTATTGTTCTTTGCTGTCTTCAGACACACGATATGTTTGATTTGACTAATCTTAGCAACATGTTCAGCTGTATATGTTTACAAAAAAAATGTTTTTCTCTGTGCATACAAAGAAGACCTACGTCTAAAGACAAATATGTAAAAAAACAACAACAAAAAAAGGCAGTTGTAATCATTAAAATGTCCAAAAGAATATATCAAGTATAAATACTACGAACAGGATTATAATATTGCGTAAATCTATAAATTTTTTTTATTTTGAGCAACAATAACAACAACAAAAAAAATCATTACATTCGTTAGAAAACTCACCTGCCACTCCCCATTTAGTGTTTCGCGCAACTTCGCCCACATTCCTGTCCTTCGATAATGGCGTCATTTATTTAAACAGCAGCGACAAAATAATAAAAATTTAAAAAATCCATGAAATAATTTTTTTTTTCTTATCCTAATATAACCAAGAGTTTTTGCCGGGTAACACTATGCACTAGCTTCCAAAGAAAATAACGGGATGTGAGAGGACCGTGTAGCTACAGCGGTTGCCATGGAAATACATCAATTGCAAGGACAAACGAAAGAAGAGACCGAAAGTAGTACGCGATACTTTCAACATAAGAGCCTTGACTCATTTGAACCCTTTATACAGAGTCATATTTCTCTAGTAATATTTACCCTGTTTTTTAGGGGGAGTTTTAGATTTATTTAGTCAATATCCGATTTATGTTTTCAAAGAAAAAATAAAAGTAGTATTCTTGTTCCTTTTAATATGAAAACAAATTTTCATGCTTCAGTAGGAAATTGTCTCTGTATTTCTGCATCTTGACACAAACAAGAAGAGAAGTGCTCTTTTTATATTAGTTTTAACTTTACTTTGGCCTAATTTGACCGGGTTAGTTTGAACTGAAGGAAAATAAATTTGCAAAGTATTCGGAAATACATTTCAAAATTTCCTATTATTATTATTATTATTATTATTATTATTATTTTGATCTGTTAATCTTGTATTATTTTATTCTCTTTATTTTTGTTTTTCTAAAATCTATCGAAGTTAAGGGAACATTTCCCATTTAGGTTTTTATTTTGTTTCTCTCATCAGTTTGTTCTGTGTTTAGTTCAGGTTAACGTCTCATGGCCTAGTTATTTCCAATAACTTATAAAAATATTTTAAAACATTGTTAGAAATAATTCTGTCTACAAAAATAAAAATGTAGGTATATTTTTCGGTTTTTAGTCCTAGTTTTGATCACTGAAACTGTAAAATATTTACTTAAGATCATTATTAAAATCTTAATACTGGCTAATGCACATAAGTCTTTCTGGTGTAGTGTCTTCTGTAAAATAAGACAAATAAAACAATGAATGATGGAAGATGGGAATCAGATCAGTTATGTCTGAGAACTATAGAAATGTTACTTTTTATGTGCTTTAAATGTGTTTTTTTTTTATTTAACTTTGGGAATTGTAATGATTTACTAAACTGCTGCCATCTGAGTTAAACTTAATGTTCCAAGATGTATGGTAAAAAAGCAACAACCCTCTGGATCTTATAAAAAAAAGAAAAGATCTAATGAAAATCCAACTGTGTACAAAACGAGCTGAAGACGGCCTGAGGATGAGTAGCCATGGTTTCACTGATGGAATCTAATAGTCTGGCACACATGCAGTGAAACACAAGCACTGCTGAGTCTGAGTCCAGTTGATCTTGTAGAACCCTACCCCCCCAGAGCCCCTCTCGCTACTGCTGTTGGTGTTGTTCTGGTTCCTCATGCTCCTAATGCTCCTACTACTCAAATTTAACAGCCTGTCTCTTCTCCAAAACAAATGTGTATCATTATTTTAAACATTTTAAATCCTTAGTTATTATATTCGTAACATTTCTTTATCTGGGCGGAGGGGGGCTACTCTAACCAGCCCTTTCTATATGTTAATGTGCTTGTTTTAATGTCTTTTGTAAATCTAATTTCATAATGACAGGTTTATATTAAAAATAATAATAATAATAATCAGCAACTGTACTACAAGGGAACTACCAGCAGAGGGGGCAAGTGAACTTGGTGTGTCTGAAAAATTGTGCTTGTCCTTGAAAGTGAATGTCATAAAGTAGTAAAATCTTTCTGACATATGCAGAAGGAAATATGATTTAATCTAAGAGTACTGTTTATGGCAAAGATAATAAAAAAGTTGCACAAAGAACATTGGTGGATCCTGTCTTCTTTTTGTATGTTTACTCATCTCAGCCTCATTGTTAGCTCCCTGGAGGATTTGCAGAACAAATAAAGGAATGTAGTCTTAAACCTCTCAGTAGAGGTCAAACAAAACACATACATAAACAGAGCACTAGGTTTGCCTGTGTCCTCAATAAGCCATCTTATATATCTAAAAAAACAGCAAATTTGATTGTTCTGTTTTCACAGGAGTGCAAAGAACGACAGTGGTTCATACATTTACGGTTTCATGGGAAAACAGTGGATAGTAAAGACAAAACATGTTCAGTAAACACAATACATGTGAACCGTATGCATGTTAAAGCTAAATGAAGCATGAAACATGACATGAAAATACTGGAGCAACATGATCCTCACAGTTCAAAATAGAGGCGATATATTCATTTCTCTTTTTTTGCACACAACAAATGGCTTCTCAAGTTCATTACGAGAGAGATGTTTGGTGCTCATTTGTACTTATTCCCCTTCATTCGTATTTAACTAAATCAAATCATATGCAATCTACTTGGGAACTAATAAATAATTAGAATGTAGTTTAAATTAGTAGAAATCCTGCTGTTCTATAAACAGTTGATTTTTGAAAATTAGTGAACCACAAGGCCCAATGCAAATGTACCAAGGTATGTCTGTCTATGTCTAAATGGCTGGACATGGTATCATTGGAGGAACTTGGGAGATCCACAACTTGGATAGGAGAATCTGTTGACCAGAACATTATTACGCACAACTTAAATCTGGCATTCAAGTGGCAAGGATAAAGCCTTAGGACATGCAATCAAATATTTCTCACACATGGGGACAGAATAAAATATTAAAGAAGATGTCTTGGTCAGAGAGACTGGTACTGAATCTTACATAGAAAACATAAAACTAAGACTGAGACCTTTCTCTTCAAAATAGTGGCAGCATCATGCTGTGGAGAGGCTATTTTATAGTGGGGTCAGGGGAGCTGATGTGAGTTACAGGGAAGAAGGATTTAGCTAAATATAAGTCAAACCTGGATGAAAATAAAAAAGGAAAACACACCCAGCACTAGCAACTGGTTTAAATTATTTGCCAGAATGGAGCAGGGAGTGCTTTTCCCTAAATCTAACAAGGTGTGGGAGCATTACCATACAACCAGAGTAACATTTAAACATTTTGCATTTAAAAAGTTGCTTATAAATACATCTTACAGTGTTTTGGGTTTGTATTAGTACAGAAATTCATGTTTTCTTCTTCTATCGCATCACAGTGGCTACTACTGCTACTGGCTTTTTAATCAAAATTCAAATTCCCTTTACTGAGACCAAAGAACAGAATGGGGAAGTCCTTGAGAAGCAAGTCCCTGTATTGAGAAATCCATTAAATGAGCTGGATGTCCTCCCTGTACTGTCCAACTATCAGGTTGTTCCTGTTCTAAAGAAACACTTCACATTAAAGCCTTTAATAAATACAACTTTAAGTCTGGAAATGATCTACTTAGTCACACCATCAGTTTAAAACTTTTCATTATGTGAGCTAATCCATGAAGACACATGATATAATTCAACTTGTTAAACGTAATTGATGTACTAAACCTACTCTATTGCTTAACCTCCAGATGGACACAGAGAGGAAGATTGAAAACAGGCGTTTGGTGGGAACACCATGAAGAGCTGTTGCCTAATAAAGAGGTTAAATTTGTGTTGAAAATTGCTCCAGATGTTTGCTCACTCATATGTTTTCACAGTCCCACAGTGAAGCACAGAAACCCCAAAATGTCTGGAAGAATTATTAACATTCCTGGGTTTATGACTCTCTCTTCCTTTGGCTCTTGAGGGATTCTGCAAACCAGCCTTCTCTAACTCCACGTCTGTGTCAGCTCAATGTCTACTTTGGTTAAGTTTTGTGGTGCTCAGGGAAAAAAGGCTGTAATGCTACAGAACCTTTCCTCTTCAACTTCTTCACTTGGTGTCATATTAAAACTTTACTTAATTTGTGCTTTATCTGCAGACCTTTGCAAAGTAGTACATAATGAACGAATGGAACTTATTTAAAACAAACAAAATAATATGTATATAAAACATAAAATAAAGATAAATTGTAATCCATGCATACCTTTACTCAAATCAATTAGGTGCAAGTTTAAAGAGGAGGTGAGAAGTTAACACTTTTATTTTACTCTTACCCCTGTGTACTCTTAAATTTTCGTTTATCACATATTGATTGATTGATTGATTGATTGATTGATTGATTGATTGATTGATTGATTGATTGATTGATTGATTGACTTTATTAATCTCTCACTGGAGAATTTTACTCTTTACATTAACTCTAACTTTAACTAATTAACTTTACATTTACTTTATTAATATACATACACACACACACACACACACACATATATATATATATATATATATATATATATATATATATATATATATATATATATATATAGTTATAGTTAAAACAGGTTATTGCACTGGGTATCAAAAAGTATATTGCACATTATACATTGCACAAGTTATTGCTGTTGTACTGGCACATTGTAGAGCATGTCTTTTTACATATATTACATTTATTTTACATAAATAAAACAATATGAAAAACCCCTAAATACACATGTACTGACATAGATACAAACATGCATATACTATTAAATAAATAATTGTTTGCCTCTACTTCTTTTGTATAGATATTAAAAAGTATGTTTTTATATCTTTTTTTTTTTAAATATAAGTTTGCACTATGCTTCATGTCTACACTTTGTCCATTCCATAAAGTCACTCCACAGCTTGATACACACATCATTTTTGTTGTTCGTTTTTTAAAATTCATATCTTCCCATAGTTTATATTGTCATGTCTGCTTCTACGCACTTTTTGGTTCTATGTAAGTTTTCATTTTGGGGTTCTCAGTTATGCTATAATTTATGTTATTCTATGTTGTTGCCAAGATTTATATAATTTTTGAATTTTTAGTTTTACTCTTGCTTGTAATTTCTTTCAGATATTTCTTTTCAGCATTTGGGGGATTTATTTATTCCTTGGTCTAATTTTAGTGATATTTAGGTTATATTTTCCATAGCTAAATAGGTATCTTAAGTTATCTCCAGTCCCTTCCCTTGTCCACTAGTTTTCCTCTTGGTCATTATTTATTTCGTAGTAATTAGTTTCATTCCCCTTTAGCTTAATTGAAGTTATATTCTAGTTACAGTTAAGCCTAAATTGTTGCTCCTTGTTGCCCCCTAGTGCCCAGTGGTGGGCGGTCAGGGCTTTCAAAGCCTTTTCTGCTTGCCTAATATCAGAAAAACTAACCTAAATTCACAACCTAAACTTTAACTTTGT